ACGCGTCGACGTAATCGATTACGTCGACGCGTTGTCCCAACCCTACCCTAAATGCATTGAAGCAACTGCCATGTGATTGGTTGATTAGATAATTGCATTAATGAGAAATTGAACAGGTGTTCCTAATAATCCTTTAGGTGATTGTATATATACATATATATATACATATATATACACACACACACACACACACACACACACACACACACACACAAAGCTGAGGTCACAACTCAATCAGGCTATCCTTGTTATACTGTACCAAATAAAATAAAAATATCCATTATACCGTTTTGCAAAATGACACTGTTTCCCCCAAAACAGATCATTTATCTGAGAAACAGACTGTCATTTATCTGAGAAACAGACTGTTTACTGTAGCTCAATACAAACCTCTGCCATTTTATGCCAAATTGTTGTACAAGTAGAAATTCCACTAATGGAGTAACGAATCTTGAAAGCTAATTAATTTCATTAAAACTAAGAATCTAATACTTGCTTTAATACTTTGAAACCTCAAGAAATCGATCCCTATCATTGTACATATACATCTTACATAGATGACCTCCTGTAATTTCAGCTAATGAGGCATTTAGAATTTTGAGGAAAGAGGAGCCAATTCAATTTTACAATGACACCTCCCTGATGAGGGCATTCCTGAACAACCTGGTGTGGTGCAATAATATCTAGATTATGTTTAACGTAAGCAAATGATTTAAGGATTTGTGCTTGCACATGGGGAACAACAATTTTCAACAAACAATCTTCTCAAAATGCAGCCTTCATTTCAGAAAATACGTAAATGAAAGGGAAAAATGCTGCTGAGAAGAATTATGTTGTGTGCTGCTTTTGTTGGGATTGACACTGGTCATTTAAACCTGCAATCTAGGCAGCTGATTCTTCCAAAAAAAAAAAAAAACAGGGAAACTATGACACAATTGAAATGTTATACAGACACATACCAAACTGACAGACCTACGTAAAGAGCTTGCACTCAAAGCACCGCACCACCAGGCACCATAAAGGGAGGGGGGGAGGGAGGGAGGGAGGGCAGGCCCGCTGTGTGTGGCAACAAACCAGCCACTCACATCTGCGCGCCTCTGAACTGCTACCATAGAAACAGGTAAACAAGCCAGGAACTGGCTGGTGACACGCCAGATATCCAGACGTTTGTCTGTTTGTGCACGTCTACATGTGTTCAGGAACGCAAACTACTTCATTGCAAACTTGCTTAACAATAATCAGCAATAAACCTCCAATGTCATAATACACCTAGATCACTACACCTACAGCAATGAAAACATATTCCTCCCATAATGTACCAAATAGTTTATGAGGCTGGGTGACACCAATGCAGGTAAACAGGACTACTTAAAGGCAATGTGCAATACCAGCAGCTTGACTAGCTGTTCACAAGCTGGTTCATCACAACATCAGAGACAAAATGAACACTATTTGTCCAGTTTGAGCTTTTCATAAGCAGACTACTTCAGTAATGCCACTGCTGTGTCTCTCAAAGCAGAGAAACAACAGCAAACAGTGATGACCTGATAACCAAATTCAGAAAAAGAAAGAAAAGAATGAAGTGTGATGGGTCAGAGAGAAATAATAGTAAGGGAAGGATGTAGGGTCACTTCTCATAGCTCTTCCATCTTATGGCATAATAATGGGGCAAGGCACATGGCATTGCAGAGTGACCCCTGTAATCCCTTCCTGACAAACTGGATTAGCATCTATAGGTCATATGGCACAATGAGGCAGCTTAAACATGCTACTCTAAACTCACTATCTTTCAGCGCTGCCAAAATATTCTAGATGAACCCTTAATTGGGTCCAGACTTTTCATGCGAAGCCAGTAAATTGTAAATAGTTGAGTAACGTTGCAGCACATAACGATTACCTGATGCTATTGCAGAAGAAAACTTAGCAGAGCATGTGATACCCCACCCCCTACAATGAATAATCTGACATCTCAACCAACCCATACTAGGACAAAGGGATAGGGATTGGTCAACTGCCCCACAAGACAGACTTTTTTTTTTTTTTGATGCACCTGATTTTACAACAATTGCAGAACATGGTCAGATACACTGGATCCTTTCCCCTATCAGTTTCTTTCATACTTAAAAAAATCATCACAAGCTTTAAACTGGGGCTGAGCTTTACTTCTCCCAAAAAACATTTATTGTACTGTGCTTATTCAAGCCAATGCTTATTGAACATGTGTCTATCTTTGTCACAGTAAATAAAAGCCGTAGGGAATAACACCTGTAATTTATTTTTTTAAGAGAGGGTAACGCAAACATGCCCCAATGTCCCCTACCTTTTCTCTGAAGGAAGAGCCGCAGAAGAGGATTGGCGGTAGAGATGGCCTTGTGGTAGTTGTCATCATTGTTGATGGGAAGCAGGTCCCCGTGGACATCTGCATACCCCACGAGCAGGTCCACGTTTGGAATGCGGTGCACATGTTGCAGCAGACCATAGAACTCATCAAACCGACCTGGTTTTGCCCGGTCAAGGGAGAACCGACGAAATTCTGCACCAAACTGCAATGCCACAGAACCAGAAATGCGGTTTCGTTAAAGGCTGTACTGGTGGACATAATACGACTGCTACTCAGGTCCTTTTATCTCCAAAACCAGACACATAACACTATCAAATGATAAGAAAATCTAGTTATGATTCAGCCCCAAAATATCTGGCTAAAGAATTAACACAGTATGTGCACTAACTCCATGAGATACCAGTCTGGTGAAACCATACCAGTGCATCATACAACAGTACTGTTTTTATACAGATCAGTCAAAACAAATTAATTGAGAGCAGTTAATTTACATACATACATACAAACCTAACCAATTGGTTGCTTGGATCAGCTACTTCGACTCAATTTACTTTTATTATTACATTCATTATTTCGATTCTAACTGAATAACATTAACTGGAGAGTGTCGTCTACTAACCTCAATGGCGTTTCACAAATGGGCCTTCAATGGAAGTCATTGTCACTTTCCTTTTTCCCCATAGTCACCTCACTATAATTTTCGCGATCGCTAGTCATCGTAGATGTGTCACAACGTGAATAAGGCACGGATTACGCCTTCAGTATGAACTTCAGTTATAGCATAACTTAAGTTATGGCACGCGGCACATAGTACGTGAATACAAAATTGGAAACAGACTTAATTAACCATTTTAGAAAAATACCGGCGATTATTTATGATGTTTTTATTGTGCTTGTAAAGCGCTAACCCAACTTTCAAAAACAAGTAAATCATATGCTTCATCAGTCAATTAGATTCAGTACATAAATATTAAGCAATTATCAATCTGACACCGTTAGGGACCAAAATGTTCCAAAGTCATTCGCTTATTTACAGCAAAACACGGGAGAACGAAGAACAAAAACCAAAGGGAGAACAGGCGAAGATTAAAGTACATCCAACCAAGAATTGGACGCGTTAACCTGCGCTGGTCATGCTTCACCGGTTAGAATAAACGAGCGAATCAGTCACGGCAAAAGGACGAAAACTTCAAGAACTTGGGTTAATTTATGAAAAGCTCTTCGGAAACTTTACGTACTGAGCTATATTAAAGGTAAGCACAATCCGGTAGTTCCAGAAATACCACACGCATGATTTACACAAGAATCAGAAAACCATTCAAGATAGTTTAGCTGTATTCATACATGTCGGCTGCATGTTATCGCGCAGCGATCGGTTGAAAGTTTATGACAGCAAGATAAGACGGCTGCGGCAGCGACACCGAGCCCGGTAGGCGCTTCTGGAACGGGGCAGCGTAGTCAACGCCTAATGGGCTGGGTGAGAGCACGGTAACGGCGAAGCGTCTACCCAAGCTACGAACCACGGTTTAAAAGGGACACACTGACGCCTTCATTTATAAAAATGTCTACAAGGAGCTATGGCAACAACGTTTGACACTTGTCGATAGTCGCCCTTGTATCACCTCAGTGGTAAGCCCAAGGCATCTGTATTTAGTCTCCTAATCAGCTAACCTTTCCGAAGGTTTTATTTCCCCAGAACGCTAACAGTACGCCGGACGTCTTCTTTCCGACTATACCAACCTTGCTCTTCACCTCCACGGCGCTCAGAGTACGGCTGCTCGACGCTCGGTGGTTTTTATTCATCTTTCACAGCCAGGACCCTCCCGCAGTTCGCTGTTGCCCTCTCCGGGGCTCCCCTCTTTCCCTCGCACTCCCCTCCTTCGCCTCAAAAGGTCTCCGGTTATGCAGTATCCGAGTTATACCTCCCAGGCCGCTTCAGCAAGTCTTCCCCCTGTTCTCGGAGTCGCCGACTGTCCAAACGGGTTATCCACATAAAACTCAGATTCACGGTGACGCCTTACGCACCCAGGAAACGCCCCCCACCCTTACGCTCAGCCTCGATTCGAGCGGGCGCGTTCCCGTCACCCTTCACGTTTCGTTACCGGCCACCAACGCGAGGATGCTCCTCCTACCCGCAGACCACAGACCCGCTTTCGCTGAGCCGAATATCTTGGAAGGTGGATTTCTGTATGCATTTGACAATCTCTGCGGTTTAAGGTTGTGTGCCTGTGGTAACATCGAAAATTTCAGACAAGCTGAATGTGTTAAAAAATGGGTTGGCCAAGCCGTCAAATGAATCAAATTAGTTCGTGACTGTCTTTGCTATTAATTAATTAGTTAATCATGATATGTAACGCATCGTTCGCGAATATGGCCAGGATAAGCGGTTGGATGGCTGTCACTGACAAATAAGCATTTGTAGTTCCTAAACAATCACAAAGCAAGCATTACAAACATTAAAGAAAAAAACACAATTTAGTGGCTAGATGAAAGATGCGTATAATGGACTAACGTACCTGTAGAACAATTTAGTGGTGACATCTTGTGGTAGTATTTGGAATATCTGTTCATTTTCTCACTGTTTGTCCAAAAGTCACAGATGGTTATCCCAAGTAGCACAGGGCATGTCAAAAGACACCCACCACGTGCAATTTGCAAACACCTGTTCTCATAACAGCAGAAGATAAGCTGAAGTTCCCGCAGGAAACCTACATAACATGAAGAGAACATGCAAACTCCACCCACACAAAGCAGGAGTTAAACCCCAAACCCTCGAGGGATGAGGCAGTAGGGCTGCCTATTGAGCCACAATGTCACCCATGTTTGGACTAAAATGACATTTCACTGGGTTTATGGAAAATAACCAATGTATTATTGATCAAAGATTCAAGTATAACATATACGGAGCGTATTGTGACAGACAGCAGGGGAAAATGAGGACTCAGATATGGAAATAGGAGACTGAGGCTTTAACTGGAGCTGATAAAAATCAGGATTGTATGGTCCAGGCAAATAGAATTCAATTCATAAGGCATAAAACGAAGATCGGTGAAACAGGTGAGGATCAGGCAAGGTGCATACAGCAATCAGGATGGAGTAAGGAAAACTTGGAATCTAGGAACAAAACTGAATCATGCACCTGAGGATAGATATTAGAGAAAATGTTCAAACTCTCACCTGAGCAATGTGTCAGAGAACATGGCAAGTCAGTTGTAGTGACAATCCCACATCGTCCACTCCACTGCGAAGGCAGCCAGATCCTGTTGATGACTCTCCATGGCAATAACTATACAAATTAACTTGAGATCCACATCCATTTAATCTTTGGGTCAAGTTCTCTTTTAATAATGATAATATAAAGGTTACAATTATCACAATGTGAGGGTTACTATAGTTTATGGCATATTAGCGGTAAAACTGTATGATCTCCTTGCCACCTACCCCTACGCCCCTGACCCCTTCGTTTAAGGGTTTTCTCTCCCCTCTTGCACCGTGACCTGTAGCTTACTCAGCCCACACTGCCACCTAGTGTCAACCACTACCACCACAACAAAATAACGAATGGCTCCCACATCAGTGGTAATCACACAATGGTCAAGGAGAGGCATGGCCACTAATAAGAATCACCAGGAATCCTGGTACACAGGCTGAGCAGGGTTTCCCTGACTGGGTGGAGTCCCAACATAGGTGTTCCCTGGAGGGCATGGTCACCGAGACAGGGAATCCCTGTCATGATGGAACTGGTCATGGAGGGAGGACTCCATAATGTGCTGCACAGGAATTGAAGGTCTGTACCCCTCCCAATCCACAAAATACTGGAAACCTCGTCCCCACCATTGGATGTCCTGCAGACAACGGACTGTATAAGCTTCTCCCTATCAGTCATTCAATCTGCCCCAGTGGAGGTGGTGTTGCTGAGGAGGTGAGAGGACTAGTAACTTCGGGCTTGAGTAGGGAGATATTGGACATCAGGTATACCCATCACATAGTGGCTGGCAGTTACAGGTGCACCGCCAACGGACTGATCACTTTGGTCATTAGGAATGTCCCCACAAACCAGGGGTGCCAGCTTGAGTGAAAGAACCTGTAGAGGCAGATCACAAGCAGACAGTCAGATCCTTTGACCCAGTCGGTAAAGAGGGGACAGAGAATGGCATCTGCTGGCATAGCCTGCTATCTTTTGTTGCACTCAAAGCAGAGATGCCCATGCCGGACTCCAGATCTGTCTGTAGTGTCATAAAGGTGATGAACCAAGGGAATTGTGACTTCCTCCTTCAGTGGCCTGTAGTACGAAGCGGGATTACTGACTTATCAGGGTAACTTGTCGGATTTAAGGTAGTCTGGGCAAAATGTAAGTGAACGAATATGAAGTCCATTTAAAATATGGTACCTTAAATCTGACAAGTTACCCCGATAAGTCAGTAACCCCGCTTCGTAGTACAGGCCACAGGTCTGGGAACATCAGAGGGTGATATCCTAAACTGGACAGGAGTTGTGGGCAAACTCAGGGAATCCAGGTAAGATAGGAACTCCAAGTGGTAGGGGTGTGAGAAACCAAACAATGCAGCATCTTTTCAAGATCTTGATTCACCTGCTCTATTTGTCTATTAGATTGGCTGTACCCCAATTAGACAACATAGCTCCCTCGAAAAACAATACAGAAACTGCAGGTCTCTATCAGAGACAATGTCAGAAGGCAGCCTATGGTGCCAGAAGACATTCTAAATCAGACATTCTAAACCAGCTGAGTGGTCTCCATAACCGAGGTCAACCTGGGCACTGGCACAAAATGGACTGCCTTGGAAAAACAATTGATGACTGCAAGGATGACCATGAAACCCTTGGATGGGCATGATGTGTGACCAGGGTCACCATGGGATGGGAAGGGGCTGAAGCAGCTCTCAAGGGCTTATGCCGGACGCAGGTAGAGCAGGTATTACGGGTCCCAAGAGTGGTACCATGATAATAAATTTAAGTACCGTACCTGTAAACAGGTGAGTAAGACAAAGAGATCCGTTCTTCCTCCAAAGTGCATCTTATCCTCCCTTCACTGGTTACCAGTTAAGTCTCGGATTGATTATAAAATAACAAACAACAACAAATTTATTTTTGTATAGCGCATTATCACAACATTACTTTGTCCCAAAGCGCTTTACAGCATCCCCATCCAAAGCCCCCAGTGAGTAAGCCATAGGCGACAGTGGCAAGGAAAAACTCCCTAGAAGGAAGAAACCTTGGGAGGGACCAGACTCAAAGGGGGAGCCCATCCTCCAGGGGCCGGCAGGGAGAGTCAAATACAGTTAAATCTGAAACACAAACGGGGAGCAGGGGGGAGATGACAAGCCGGTGCCACCGCTCCCTCCAATCACCAGGCATCCAGAAGGCAGGGAGCATTTCATACAAGGAAGATGACACAGGCAGAACGGCGAGCTGGATGCACGGACGTCATTGGTAGTGGCGACGTCACATGTTGCAGGGTGTGCTGGACATATTGATAGATTGAGGTCTCCCCCCAGAAGAAGTAGGGGAAATGCATATACTGCTATTAACCTATAAAGCACTGAATCGCCTTGCACCAGAATAGCTTAGTGATCTGCAGACATCATACAACCCCCCAGTGCTTGCTTCGTACTCAAGGTGTGGGATATCTGTTAGTACCTAGGGTAGAAAGAGCTATGGCAGGCTGCAGAGCTTTCTCCTATAGAGCTCCTCAGCTGTGGAATGGTCTTCCACCGGATGTGCGGGTTTCAGGCTCAATCTCAATATTCAAGTCTAGACTAAAAACACACCTGTTTAGTTTAGCTTATAGGGACACTAGTTCTAGCTCTAGCTAACTCCTCACTCCCAGTTAGACCTATAGTGTGAGGTGTAGAGCTGGGTGGGGATCGGTGCCATTGGCTTTGGATAAACTGAATTGACAGTGCTGTCACTCTAGCTTCACAATCGCTTGTGGGATTGGAGTGCTGACATTTCAGGGACTCCCCATGGCTGCATTCCCACTTGCCTCTCCCTCCTACTTATGCTGCCATAGCCATATCTGCCGGAGCTTGCACATTGCACTTCAAATTGCACTCATCTAACTTTTAGCACTGCCTATAGTCTCTCCTACTTTGACTAATTGCATATTTTATTTCCCCTACTCCTCCTAGGGGGTGCTGCCTGGAGACCTCAATCTATCAAGATGCCCAGCACACCCTGCAACATGTGACGTCGCCACTACCAATGACGTCCGTGCATCCAGCTCACCATTCTGCCTGTGTCATCTCCCATGTATGACCCACTGCCTGCCTTCTGGTTGTCTGGCGACTGGAGGGAGCATTGGCACCGGCTGTCATCTCCCCCCTGCTCCCCGTTTGTGTCTGAAATTTTACTGTATTTGACTCTCCCTGCCGGCCCCTGGAGGATGGGCTCCCCTTTGAGTCTGGTCCCTCCCAAGGTTTCTTCCTTCTCGGGAGTTTTTCCTTGCCACTGTCGCCTATGGCTTACTCACTGGGGGGCTTTGGGTGGGGATGCTGTAAAGCGCTTTGAGACGATGTAATGTTGTAATAATGCGCTATACAAAAATAAATTTGTTGTTGTTGTTTTGTAGGCAGAACCAGCTGTTTGCGACCTAGTGCTTTCTGGTACAGGAGGCCATTCTCCACATACAGCTTGTTCCATTCCCATGACAGTTTCCTGGTGAGTCTATTAAACATTTTGCATTTTTCCTCCATCAGCTCTATTGTTCTCTCCTTTAAATTCAAGATCTTCCCAATGACAGGGTCTTTACGCTGTTCACTGGCCAGCTCCTTGGCACTGATTACTGGCAAGGACTCTGAGCAAATCTGCTGCTCTAAGGCTATACTGAGGGCTGCCCCCCACACCACCTCGCTCTGCTGGGCCTTCCTGCTCCCATCCCAAGTGGCACACACAGCTTCTTCAGACAGTCCTTCTGAGCATTGGCTCATGAAAGCATCAATGTCAAAGGTACAACGGGAGAGAGTGTCTGCATCGATATTCAGCTTGCCTGGTCAATACTTGATCTCA